CTACCAACACCACTAAACTCTCTCAATATTTCGGTACTTAGCATAATGGGAGAAGAGAAGTGGAACAATATTTTCAAAGTCTCCCATTTAATCATGTCCGAAAATGGTGAGAAGCTTTAGAGATAATTCTCCTAAGACACTTGACATACATGCAAAATAATGCTAGGACACATGTCATACATGTAACTTTTCTTAGGCCTCATAATGCCACATACATAACTCCACTAACAATAAAGAAAAATGGGACATACTAACACAATATTAAAGATAAAAAAAATGAGATGCACGGCTTCTTGCATGACTTGGAATAAAAATTCTCCACTAGTTGAATAGTGTACGGCAATAATAATGCTAATGGTGATTAATCACCATTCATCACAAACTAAAGCTTAATTAATTTATTAAGCATAACACTTAATCACCAAAATTATTTCGAACGCAAAAAGGTACGTCGAAAATAGTTTCCGGTAATTTTGACTGAAATAACTGAAAATAATTAATTCCGAAAAATAATATCGGAACTAAAAATATAATTTATACTGATAAATTGACGGGATATTACACAACCTCTTCCGGTACCCGAGGCAATCTGGGAGGACATTACTATGGATTTCATTGAGGGGTTACCGAGTTCTAATGGGTTCGACAGTGTTATGGTTGTAGTGGATCGTCTCACAAAGTATGCTCACTTCATACCCATTACCCATCCTTACACCGCAAAGTTAATTGCCAGGTTATTTATGGAGTATGTGATGAAACTGCATGGAGCACCACGGTCCATCGTCTCTGATCGAGACCGGATTTTTATGAGCAGCTTTTGGTCTGAATTCTTCAAGTTGCAAGGGACTAAGTTATCTATGAGCTCAGCCTACCACCCACAGACAGACGGACAAACTGAGGTAACCAACCGAACCCTTGAGCAGTATTTGAGATGCTACGTCCATCAATTCCCGAAGAGGTGGGAAAACTTTTTGCCTGGGGCTGAGTATTGGTACAACACCACTTACCACGAGTCGACCAAGATGACGCCGTTTGAGTTGGTATACGGGCGAAAACCCCCAACACTGATCAATTATTCGGAGGGGAGTACAGTCAACGACGAAGTTGGTCGAGAGCTAGAGGAACGAGATCTAATGTTGCGAGAATTGAAGAAAAATCTCGAAGGCTCAATCAATCGAACCAAAGCCTTCGCAGATGGAAAAAGGCGTGAGGAAAATTTTGCACCAGGCGAGTATGTCTACCTGAAGCTCCGACCATTCAGACAGCGCACCACAGCACAAAGAGCCGCAACTAAACTAGGCGTTCGCTATTACGGGCCTTATCAGATTTTGAAGTGCATTGGGCAGGTAGCATATTGCCTAGAGTTACCGGAAGGTTCACAAATTCACCCAGTTATCCATGTCTCACAACTCAAGAGGAGTTTGGGAGAAGCACAGAAGTATTGTGAGGAGTTGCCAGCAACTGCAACCGATGGTAGGGTCATAGTACGACCAAGACGAGCGATTGAGTAGCGTAAGGTAAAGAGAGCATGGCGCTATCGTTGGGAAGTACTGATTGACTGGGAAGAGTTGCCATCCGAGGAAGCCACGTGGGAGGATCTTGACGAAATGTGTGATCAATTCCCGAATTTCATCCTTGGGGACAAGGAAGCACTTGAAGGGGACGGG